ACTGACTGCGGTTAAAGAAGTCTGATGAGATGATCTCCGAAATAGCAGCTATAAATAACTTCTGCCATTCGAAAAAAACTATTTTTTTCCCACAATAATTTTTCATAGAAAACGCCCCCAAGTTCAATAAAAAAAAAATGTTTAAGAAAAGTAAATTTGTAAAGGAGTCTTGTCCCTAATTATCTGGCCACCATCTATGTAGGTATGTATTTATGTACAAATGTACGTGTTTGTGTTCGTCTAATTATTTCATTGTCAAGCTTAAGATTGGACGTTAAATTGTCAAATCAGAATCCAGTACATCCAGACACATATACATAGTACATACGGATGGTTAAATATAGTTTACACACTTATTTACATACATGCATATATGAACAATAACACGCAGACAAAATTATGCACTTTGTCTGCCAATTGTGGCTTATCATTAAATGAATACTTCAAAATAAATGCGCAAATATGTACAAAAGTTTCTTTCCACAACAAGTAAACATACTAGAGTCCGACCGATTCCAAATTTTTGGCCGATGCCGATTCCTTTAAAAAAAAGTACCTCATTCAAGAAAAAATGTTTTTGATAAACCGTTATAATAACAAACGAAAAACATAAACAAATAAGAAGAATCAATCATCTATTCACTTATTTATGTGATCCAAATCAATCGATAAACCGCTTTTTAATCCCATTTGACAATGTGTTTTCACTTATTTGTAGACAAATGCCCCTGAATTTGACATAGTGAAAATTAGCCATTACAGTAACGAGATTTTAGCATTCTTTGACTATTTCCCTTTCGTTTATTAAATGTTTCTTAAGAAAGTGTAGCTCGTTATATAACAAAAACCATGTTAGTAAAAATTTCAAACTTTTTCTTTAAACATTCTGAGTATGCAGTTTTGTAGCCCATTCAATATTATTTTAATGAAGTGCTAATTTTAAGTAACTAGGACTTGCTATTGATTTTGGGATCGGCCACGAACGGCCGATGCCGATGCCGATTAATCGGTCGGACTATAAAACATACATATATGTACGTAAGTATGTACATATGTATGTATATAAGAATGTTTTTGCACATATCGCTCATTTGCTGCAAGAGTGTCAAAACCGAAAAAATCAAAAGCAGTTTACATACATATGTATGTACATATCGTTACCTAAAGGTGAAAAGGTGCCAAGTCCATTTTTTTGAAATCAATTACTAACGAACTAAATTTGGAAGAAATGGACGTGACAACTTTTCACATTTAGTTAGCGATCTTCCCTAGTGAGTGAGTGAGTGAGTGAGTGAGTAAACGATGTAGTTAAGAACTTTTTTACACAACATAGAAGAAGAGGTGGCGATTATTTATGCAAAATTGTGTTTTTGGATTGTGGCACTCTTGCAGAAAAATTGCGATATGTGCATAAACTTATAAACAAACATACGTACCTATACATATGTACATATGTATGTATGTATGGACGTGCGGGCTTTTGTTTTGCGAATAAAATTTCTTCAATTTGAACATGTCATTGTCTCATATTTACTATATTCAATTACGTTTTTTATTAATCATTTATGAAACTAACTACAAGCTGTTACAGCCAATTTTACGAGAACAATTTAAGTGAAAAATGATTTAATTTTATAAAAATATTATATGGAAATTGACAGAAAAAAAAAAACCATTTTCCATTTAAATTGCTGGTGAAACCGGCTTTAAGTGTCGATAGAACAAAAATACGTTTATTTATACTAACAGCAATTGCATTAATACAACATGTCAAGGGTCACCGCTGGTTATTGTTACTCGCTTATGTACATAAATACATATTTTTACCATACGCTAAACGTGTGGATGTTAATTTATTTATAGGAATGTGATTTATTGCAAATGTATACATGTATGTACATTAGGATGGTCCTTAAAAAAATCAAATGAACGATTTTTTCAGTTTCATCCCCTCAATCGGTAATACCACGGTCACAGATATCACATATAAAAATTGGCCCCGATTGGAGACTTTTGAGTCATGTCGCACAGGGGGAAAAGTACAGATTCTTCTATAGAGTAAAAAAATTTAAATCAATTTTTTTTTGCATCTAATACCCAAAATCGATACTACCTTAGTCGAAGATATCATATTTTGTTTCCGATTGGAGTTGGTTAAGGTGTGTCGCAAATGGGTCAAAGGCCAGATGCCTCTATGGACTCAAAAAATTAAAAATATTTTTTTTTATTTAATACCCAGAATCGATATCACTAAAGTCGAGAATATCACATATAAATTTTGGTCCCGATTGGAGTCGGTTAAGACGTCTTCGTAGGGTTATCTGAACTTTGACCCCTGTGCGACACGCCTTAACCGCCTCCAATCAGGAACAAAATTTATATGTGATACCGTCGGCAATGGTAGTAGCGATTTTGGGTATTAGATGAAAAAAATAGTAATATTAATTTTTTGAGTTTGCATAGAAGGATCTAAACTTTGCCCCCTGTGCGGCACGCTTAACCGCCTTCAATGGGGACCAAAGTTTATATGCGATATCTTCGACTATAGTAGCATCGGCCTAGGGAGTGAGGTTTAGGAAATCTGATGTAAAAATTTGCTTCCTACATTTAAAGACCACCCTAATGCACATACATATGCAAGTTTAATTTTGCAAACCATTATATAAGCCTGAGAATATTTATATAAAAAAGTTTAAAAGGCCTTGGTCATAGTGCTGATAAGACTCAGAATTCTAAATAAATTCCACAAATATTTTACTAAATACATACATATGTACATATGTATGTATATATATGCATAAATGTGTAAACAAAATATGTGTATATTTTTATTCAAACTGTGTGTGTATTTTTAAAAGCTGATATGTTTAAGTGGGTATTTTGAAAATTCCTACTAAGCAAATTCTTAGAATGAATTCAGGAATAAAACGAAACGCAATTCTTATAGAACGGCAATATTATGAAACGACAAGCTTTCAAAACACACGTAAATTAAAATTAATAGAATATATTTGTAAAAGTACATTTTTTCATAATTCAGACTTTCGACCAAATTTTGAACTTTATAGCTAATACATATAATCTCCGACGCTAGATAATTCCAAATACATATTTTTGGACCTAACTTTGGACGAGTACACACATATGTAAATATATACGAGTAAATACATAAATATGTACACACAGCATCTGATTAACGTCACAGAATGCCCGAAAACGCATACTGATAAGATTGGCGCAGTCAAAGTACAAGCGCGTACAACAAAATGATGCCCTGTAGAAAAAATGTTTTTAGCGCTAATTCTTGATGCGAACGATTTATTTATTTATGGCCATGGTTGTCGTTTATACATATGAGTATAGTCTTCGCTACGCATACATACATATTTAATCGTATCTTTATCTACATGTGTATATTAGGGCAGAGTTATTTGTTCGGAGCAAATTTTTCGAGGAAAGTGTATAGCAAACTCAAATTCTACGATGAATTCTAAGCAAAAATGGCGAACAAACTATGTTTATACCAAAAACGAGTTTTCATCCTCACAATTTTCAAGAGAAAAAGCAGTATATTGTATGAAGAAAACACAAACTTTAGTAAATGAAAACTTAATTTCTCTCAGAGAAAATTATAATACACTGATTTTTCTTTTAAAAATTGAGAGAGTCTAACGTCGTTTTTGCTATATATAGTTTGTTCACCATTTCCGCTTAGAATCGAACGTAGAACTCGAATATGCCATATACTTTTTTTGAAATTAAACTACTCCGCCCTAATGTATCTATTCCACTTTTTAATGAACATTTTGAGAAACATTTTTAGTACGCAAGATTTTAAATAGCTAAAAATTACCGTTGATTTTTGAAAAAACCCTGACCTTAACTTAGCAATTTTCTTTATAAAATTTTTCTTTATGCTCCCTATTACTCACATGTCACTTGCAACCCATTCACATTCGCAACAAAAAAAAAGATTTCTAAAAGGCTACGTATTTTTCTTGTAAGTGGCTTTATATTGTATAGTCCACATACATATTTATTAGAGTGGTCCAAAAAAATAAAGTCGGAGTTTTAATGCCGGTACACCCTAGGATTGATCTACATATATCGAAAAAAAATATACCCCTATTTTTTATTTTGAAATCAAAAAATATTTAGGGAGTGCTTAAAGCGCTCAAAGTTTTCCATGTATTTTATATGGAGAAAAAAACATCTTTCCGTAGAAATAGTGTAGAATTCTTGAAAATCAATATTTTTCGATCGGAAAACTTTACTTATCTTCAGGAGATTCCCAGTAATAATACTCAATTGTTTCTTTAACAATTTTTTCATGGTAACTATATTTTATAGGTCCTCCAAAGCCCTTAGAAAATGCAATTGGGGACCAATAAAAAATCTTTAATCGTAAAAAATGGTTAAATAAACAATTGGATATTAATACTAGAAGTCTCCTGAGTTTCAGAGTTCAAGAGTTTTATACAATTTCTACGAAAAATTGTTTTTTCTCCATATAAAATACATGGAAAACTTTGAGCGCTTTGAGCACTCCCTAAATATTTTTTGATTTCAAAATAAAAAAATATGGGTATATTTTTTTTTTGGTATATAACAATCCTAGGAGGTGGCGGCATTAAAAATCCGACCTTATTTTTTTTACATACATTTTTGGACCTCTTTAATATTTATGTACATATGTACGTCATATAAGTTAAATGTAGAACGCATAAGGAAATATTGTAAACAAAAACAAAAATATCGCATAAATATCCGTCGTATGTAATTGAACACTGCACGCTATGATGTTTGTTTGATTAAGTGATTAATATTCAATAAAAAAAAAACAGCAACTTTCCCTTAGGCAATTCCGCGAATTATCGGTGACGCATTATTTGTATGACATGTGTTGTTAAGTCTATTAGATCTATGGAATTGCATTTAATCAAGACGACACAGACCTGAGAAAAATTTCGTTGACTTATTTTTTAAATTTTCTTTTGCAGAGATAACAAGGTTCTTCGAAAGAAGTTACTCACCCGCAGGCTGCATGCAGTTTACTGGCAAATTATTGAGTACGTTAACTGAATGGAAGCCTAAGTGAAAAAAGGTGCGTAAAAATTGCTTTAAACTTTACCTTGGGATATATCCGCACAGCAATTGTTAAATTCTTAAGCAGTTGAGTGTTTTTAGTTAAGATTTTCACAATCCTTAAATATTCACCGTTATAATGCCATTTGAATGCCTTCTAATCTATGTAGCAGCTAAAAAAAAAAAATCTAATTTTAAATTTTCAAAGCAACTTCTATTCTCAACAGTACTTCAGCTCTTACTATCTACTTACTACTATCTGTGGCCAAAAACCGGGACATTTCTAAAGCATCGAATCCGAACATACAATTTTGTTTTTAGAATAAAAAGGCTTAATACAACTTTATTTGAAACAAAACAAAGAGAAAAAAAATTTAAAAGTGATTATTATTTTTAAATGAAAATATAACTTACTATCTACAAAAAACATGTAAATCAAAATTTTTAAATTTGTAGAACATTTATAAAAATTCGACGAATTTCAATAAATATTCATTACAATTTGAAACATTTTAATCAGATTTTCTAGAATTGCTTTGAGTATGAAGTTTTGAAGTCTATTAAATTTATAATTTATTATAAAGTGCAAATTGGAAGAAGCTTGGACTTAGCGCTGATTTTTGGGCAATTTTTTGTTCGCGCATTTTCTCCCAAACACAGTGAGGTTGTTTACTGGTTATCAGGTTATCTGGTTAAAAATAATTATTGTGTAGTGTGTTTTATTGCTGTGTCGGCCGCTGTTGTGTAGTGGTCAGCAGTGCGCGCTTCCACTCCGCTGCGCCAGGGTTCAAGCCCTGGTCGAAGCAACATCGAAAAAAATATGGAAAAAAGGGTTTTTCTTAACAGCGGTGACGACCGCAGGCAATGGTAAACCTCCTTGTGTATTTGTGCCATGAGAAAAGCTTCTCATAAAAATACAATCGCCGTTCGGAGTCGGCGTAAAACTGTAGGTCCCTCCGCTTTGTGTGACAACATCAAGGCGCACACCACAAATCGGAGGAGAAGCTCGGCCAAACACTAACATATGTGTAAGCGCCAATCTATTATTCTATTATTAATTTAGTGTTGTAAACTGAGTAAAAAATATAACCACATAACCTGATAACCAGGCAAGCGTGAACAACCTCAGTATGTTCAACACTTTTTTCTGTATAGAGAAAACGAGCAACACCTTCCACAAAATTTACCAAATATCAACAGTAAGTCATAGCTACTGAAAATTTGCACTTTGAATTGAATAGGTTACAAAACTGCATACTCAGAAATCAAATTAAAAAGCTCAAACTTTTGATGAAACTTTGTCGAATTTTGCTCATTTTTGTACAAAGTTTCAAATTCTGACTTACGTGGTCTTTGTTAGATAACAAGCCACACTTTCATAAAAAGGAATACACATTAAATAATCGAAAGGGGAGTAGCTAGAGAAAGCTAAAATGTCTCTCTTTTCGCCACTCTATCTACAGCTTATGTTTTTCATATCCATGGTTTTTTTTGAAGGTATTAGTACCTATTATTTTTTATAATTGCATTAATTATATTATTATATTATTAATAAGGATGCTCGGGCTGGATGTTTATGGCTCGCTTATATTCTATGTCCTCTGTGATAACGAAAGTGCTGCTTCGTTTGTACGAAAAATTGTTTTCAGCCAGAGTACAGGGGAGAGTCTCAATAAATGAATAAAGAAAACACTGAAAATCGCGACTTAATAGGTACAAATATGAAAAATCGGGACACTTATCCGTGCCGACTTTAAAAAAAAATTGAGCGGGAAAATTTTCTCAATATCGGTACTGTCCCGCCGAAATCGGTACGAATGGTCACCGTGTCTATACTATAATAAAACTGTAGAAAAGCTGTATGTTTGTGTGTTTAGCTGTTTGTCTATTTGAACTCACTAATCTTCGGAACTACTGAGTGGATTTTCATGGGGCTTTAACTGGTGTCTAGACCAGTGCCCGCCAAAAAGAGAAAAGTCTTAAAATGAGAATGCATTAGTCAGTGTTGCCAACTTTTAATTTTCAAAAAGCACCAAAAACTTGTAAAAAAGCGTTTTATCACACTAAAAGCACCAAATTTTTTTTAATAAAAAGATGCTTTTTTCATAACAGTTTGTATTTAACAAAAGCAAAAAATTAAGAATATTTACAAGAATACATACATAAATCAATACACAAAATTGTTCGCTCATAACGATTGAATAGCCTCTACACATGCTATGATGACTCATACGTACGACGTAATATCGAAGTACTGCGCATTAAAACTGGTATATCTCGAGAAAGAAAAATCGAATCGCAACAAATGAAAATGATGCCATAAGTAGAAATGAGCAAAAAATGTGATGTTTTCATTATATAACCTCAAATATCTCCAAAAACCGTGTTTTTGGCACTTTGAGGTTAGGATATCTCAAAATTCTAGTGCTAAGCAATTGTACGGCCAGATTTGGATTCAGCACCAAGAAACGATGTTTTTTATTCAGGTGGTAAAAACATCAAAATTTGCACAAATAATTAGAAAAGAAAAAGAGAAATACTTAACTTACGCGAATAGAATTCAAAAAGATGGGTTTGTAACTTCATCTTTTTATCAATCATGGTTATATTTTAGTGCATTTAAATTTGTAGATTCTTGTAAATTCAGTGCTGCCACAGCTTTAAATATTTCAGGTTTTACCTATCTCGGCGGAATTTTAGTTCAGAAAAAAGCACTAAAAAAGGCACTAGGCACTAAATAATTTTTTTTGGCGTTTTAGTTTTCAAAAAGCACTAAATCTAGTGCTTAAAGCACCAAGTTGGCAACTATGGCATTAGTTATGAAACAAAAAATGAGAATGTGTTGGTGGTAATGCACGGAAAAAAATTTCTGTGTTGTATTACTTATAAAATTTTTGGTATGTTTTTTTTTGCCGTTTTTTTCATTGTGCGCTATTTTTTAGATCTAAACAACATAGAAACATATAATGAAAGTTAACGGCCCTAAGAAAGGAAAAAGTTGGTAAAATTTTGTATGTATTGCACAAAATTATTATTATTTTTTTATAATTTAAGTGTGGAAAGAGAATTTCGTTGATTTCAAGTAGAAATAAAATAAAAATATATATATCTAATATATATTTATTTTAAAATTAGGTAAAACTTGACATTTAAGAACAATTTAAAATAACGATGAAACCAAAAGATAAATAACAAAACATATTGTATGTTTTAATTGAGGACTTGAATAGAGTCTGGTATTAAAAAAAAAAATACATAATTCATAAAGTTCTTTTAATATGAAGAAAAAGCACGACTTGGTACCATATACATACCTATTTCTAGGGGTGTATATACGAAAATTTGTGTTATAAAATTTTTGAATGAACATTCATTCATTCTGCTCAGTGTACCTACTTTATTCAACAATAATGCATGATCAACCTGCTTCGCCTATAATAAAATTTGTTGCTCTTCTACTCTTTCTGTTGACGTTCGTGTGACGTTTAAGAAGCCGATTGTGTACATGTGAAAGGCCGAATATAGTTCGTTTCCCAGGAAAGTGTTTGGCGGGCACTGGTCTAGACAGTGATCTCGCACATAACATAGGGTATAAAAAATAATGTAAAACCGACAAGCTTTTTTAAAAACGAAGTAAATTAGTACAAATTGTTAGTAATTTTCATTAGAGTTTGAGTAACTCCTTTCATTAAATGGCTTTTAGTAACTTTAACGAGACCTTAACTTATTTTATTTTATTCATTTTAGTGCAGTTTTGACAAAATTTTCTTGCTAAAAAATCTTTTGTTACACTACTTTATTTTATTCCTTTGATTGTACATGTTAAATAAAAGCTTGTTTTTAAAAAATATTTTTTTACATTATTTTATTTTCTAATTTTTAGTCCATTTATAAAAGTGTTGTATATTAAAAAGTGTTATTTTATTTTATGCACACAATTTTGCAATAGATATTAAAATAATTCAACTTGCAATGAAAGAGAACAGAAGACTATGCAAGCAAAATGTTGTTTGCTTACGTTTTGTATAAACATACATATGTACATATAGCAGCAGTTAATTTCATTTAAAGAAATGGCGTGTCGTCCATTTCCGCTGTAGCGTATATAAATGCATATATTTAGGCGCAATATTTAACTTCTTCTAACGGGGCGACATCTGGAGTCTTCTAATTGTAGGTTGGAGTGGCATCTTCTAATTGTATCTCCTTGATATGATGCCTACAACGAGGTTCATATCTAGACTAGGTTGATATCTAGTGGTTTTACGGTCTTTGGCAAATTACACTCTGTTAGCCATAAATCTTACTATTTTTTGACCGCCTTTGAATCAAGACCCCTAGACCATATGGGTAATTCATTTATATTTTAAATTGCATTGTCATCGTGATTGGATTGTCGGGAAGTTAGTTTAAAATCGATTGGAAATTTCCACGATTTCCGCGGGATGGCCAAGTTAAATAAAAGCTTATAAAAAATGGGATCTGACAGGGGAGCACGGCACCTCCCATAGGCGTGCCATTTTTAATTAGCTATAACTTCGAAACCGTAAGTCACATGGCTTTGAAATTTGGTGTGTTTACATGCATATCTATGGTAGGTGCTTATAGTAAAGAAAATATACTTTTGTAAAAGGGGCTATAACTATAACCCAATAGCTATAACTTCGGAATCAAACGTCAAATACCTTTGAAATTTGGTGTGAAGCCAGATCTATGAAAGATGCCGAAAGTAAAGTATCCATATATATATATATATAGTATGCATATAAATAAGTTTGTAAAAGGGGCGTCGAATATCCCACAGGCGTAAAAATGTAATCAGCTATACCTTAGGAACGATAAGTCACATGACTTCGAAATTTAGTGTGAAGACAAAACTAAAGTATGCGCTTATAGTGAGGTAAATATAAATGAGTTTGTACAAGGGGGCGTGGCACATTCCATAGCCGTGTTATATCTTCGAACTCCTAACTCACATGACTGAAACTTGGTGAGAAGATCTATGGTAAATGTATACAA